CCCCCCCCGATGTCAATATGAAGTATTTAAATATAAAGGTCCCATTCTAGTGTAAAGAAAACAACAACTCATACAATTAAATGAAACACACCAGTGAAAACATCACTAGGATTAGTTTATATTCAATTTCTGTCAAAAGTCCCTTTCACCTAAATCTTACACACTGGAGCTTTAACGAGCAGCATCACTTATTTATCACAGTGGTCCGGGACAAATGAGTCAGAGACAGAATCAAGCTCAGAATCAAAGTCTTTAATACAAACGTTCACACGGAGAAACTTASTCCACAAAGTGCTGGACTCAGAAGTGTCAAGATGAACAGGTGAGGCTGAGAAAATCAGAGACTAAACACTGAGAGGAGAAAACAACAAGACACAGGTGAGGACAGGTGAGGACAGGTGAGGACAGGTGAGGACAGGTGAGGACAGGTGAGGGGGACCAGTCAAAACAGGAGGTGGAGGAAGTAGTGACCTGAAATAGGACAAAATGTGAGTTTCAAAATAAAACAGGAAACGAGGCAACATGCAGAATAAAATGATCGCTAAACTAAAGATGTGACATYGATTTGTGTCAATCAGTAGAACTTGTCTCGACACACAAACCGCCGCAGTGTGCACGAGAGGTCCAGGCCCGATGAAGCCAACAGAAGCACATCATCTGCAGAAAGCACTAAGAAGACAAATAATACAAACGGTCTGAGTCTGTTATTGATTGATTATTGATAAAGACTGATTGATAACAGATCAAGACACAACATTTGATAACTGAGAGCTTCACTGACTCATTCTGCCTCTGACACAATCATCAGCTACACACGTTTGAGTGATATTAATTTTTACGTCGTTTACAACACTTCTGGTTGTTGTTTGAGGAGGTGGATGCTCCATCGTTGACTTCCARCACCACTGTGGCCYGGCGCTCTAAACTCTCCCTGAAGGCCAGACGCATGTATTCAGCTGACGTGTCAACAGGAACTAGGATGTGTGCCACAGTGGTGCTTTCTCCCCTACCGCGTTGTTGGTTGATCTGGATTTGCAGGTTGTAACACCGCTGATTGT